ATCATGTCTTAAAGGTTCCACTCCCAATGCTCAACACTGCTGCACTGGAGATTAAGTTTCTAATACATGAGCTTTGGGGGAAGACAAATTCAAACCAAAGCATGAGTTGGTATTAGAATCTGTACGAAGTTTCAGTTGTACAAGAAGCAAAAAGAAAGCAAGGTGACTACCACTGACAATGCTGTTATGTTTGAAATTTACTAAGAAGGTAGATCTTAAGTATTCTCACCACAAAAGAAAAGTGGCAAAAGTATCTGAGATAATGTTAATTAGTCTGACTGTGGTATTTTACGATGGATAGCAGTATGACATCCTTAAGTTGTACAACTTAAGTAGTACTTTTTTGTGAACTAGACCTCAAACCTGGGGGGGGGAGGAGGGAGATCTATTTTTAAGCTGAATAAATAACAACTCATTGACTATATAGTACATCAAACTGTTTCAATATAGAACATCTTACTTTTAGACCTTCAGGTCTCATTAAGAGGGATCATCTCATTAAAGATTATATAATACTAAATCTACTTGTAAAACATTATAAAAACCATTTCATTAATATGGAAAATCTATTAACTTAGGACACTAAAACTAATCTGAAGGCTTTATCTCTTTGGAATTTAATTCTAATAATGCCACTACCTCCCATCATGATCCCACTTTTACTGCTCAATTTCCTCACATTTAAGATAATGAATCTAATGTGTTTTAGAAGACTGGTTTGATTTATCCAAGCAGCTGCTGGTGATTTAAAATATGAGTATGATTAAACTCAGCAGATCCATAACACAAAGTGTAACTTCAAATGATGTAAGGAAACTACTTGTGGAAACCACAGTAAACTCAGTACCTTGGCAAAAAGCAGCAGGGACAAGTGGATGTTTCCTATTAGAAGCCCATGCAGCGAAGAGGACAGAACCACAAACAGACCTACCAAATTAATAATGAAAGACAAATATACCAACTGTACCCCTTAAATAATTCTAGCAATAGTGTCCCCAAAGGGAAATTTTTAATTATGTTTAAAATATCAATCTATTTTATTATCAATTAATTATCAATTGATTTTATTAAGCATTTTCAGTTTCTTTATTCTCCCCTACTACCAGAGTAAGAATTTTAACAACTAGATAATGTTAGGATGGATACTATACAATTTAACAAGCACATAATATTAGGAACTATATCAAAATATAGCTATAGAAAACACTGAGGGTTTCTGTTAACAGAATAGAGTGGATTTGGTTCAAACTGTGGCTCTGCCACTTTCTGTTCAGATGACTTTTGAAAAATAACGAACTTGATAAGCTTCAATTTTTTTTCATTTTTTGGTACCAGTACTGGGTCTTGAACTCTGGGCCTGGGTGGTATCCCTGAGCTCTTTTGCTCAAGGCTAGTGCTTTATCACCTGAACCACAGCTTACCTTGTGGCATTTTGTGGTTAACTAGAGATAAGTCTCCAGACTGTTCCTCTCCAGGCTGGCTTTGAATGGATCCCCAGATCTCAGCTTCTTGAATAGCAAGTATTACAGCCATGAGCCATGGGCACCCAGCTCAATTTCCTCATCTATACATCAGGTTCACAATAACAAGCTAGCAATGATAGAATGGGGACATAGTAATAGTACCCACTTCCTGAGATCCTGAAGGTTTAAACAGGATTAAACTTGTAAAATAAACAGGAACTAACTAATTATTATTACCTATCATTCCTTCCCTAAAAGTGACCAACTTCCTCACACCTGGAAAATTATAGTCATAGCCTTTCTGCTAGAGTGATTCAAAATGTTTCAGAAAACTAAATATTCTTTGTAAAACTACTCACAGATACTTAAAAAATAAATTTTAAATTTAAAAAAACCTAAAGATTTACATAGACTTTTCAGGGAGAAAAATTAATTACTTGAGAAATTTTATAAAAGGGGTAATCTTGCAGGGTTGTGTTTGATTGACTTATTTTGTTCATCAGCACTAGAGATCTAACATGCTAGCTACCCTTTTAAGACATTAAATCCTCTTAATTCTATAGATTAGAAATCTGTACTTTACAGACAGTGAAATCAACATTTTGAGATTTTTTAATACTTAAGTTCATAGAATAAGTAGGCATCAGAAGTACACTTTAAGCTTAGATATCATGAACTCAAGTCAATGTCTTTTCTATCTCAAAACTTTACACAGAGTGGTGTACAGAGGTGAAAATTTCATTGCATTTCTTTAAGTGTCTTGAAGAAAAAAAATTGTAAAATGAGAAAAATATTATGCAATTTTAACCTCCCATATTAACCCTAACCTTAGAATTGTAATATTTAGTTACCGCTCACTGCACATATTCTGAGCACAGCCTGTATAAGGTTCATTTCATTACATATATGTCCCTAAAACATTATGAACCAATAACTGATGACAGAAGTGTTGTGTTGCCTTCATAAAGATTTTGTTCATAAAGTTCAAAACTACAAATCCCATGCTATTGTTCTACATACTAAACCTAATTCCTTCTCTAACAGAACCTCTTAAGAGTTGTTGAGTATTTTCCTATCTCCCCCACCCCACCATTGTATCCGTCTGTTCTGAGGTAAAGAGCTCTCTTCTATACCAGACTCCTACCAACATGATGGCTGAGAAGAAAAGCCCAAGGGCATAGGACCAAGAAACCATGGATAGAAACCCTTCCATCTTTCAGTTGTCTTAAATCTTTCCTTTGTTAAGGTTTCTCTCTCAGGTGTTTGTCATAGTGATGCAAAAGCAACTAGCAATATGGAAATACGATTCTTTTTTCCAGGTAACAGTATGTTTTTATTAAATGTTTAGTCCTGTTTTCATTGAATGTTTCTGATCCATAAAGGAAACACACACACACACACACACACACACACACACGAAATTTATGGAGGAAGATTTGGAGAAATACATGCTGGCAGATTCATCTTTCACTTCCATTGCAAGAAAACAATTAAAATAAGTACAAAAATGAGTCAAACATATCAATGGACAGGTAAAGAAGTATAAATAAAAGGAAGCAACTGGGCTAATGATGCTCTAATGAGGAGAAATTTCTAGATTGTTATTCACCAATGAGAAAATGTTACCCATAGTTTTTTATTCAGTTTGAGCCATGAATATTAAGAGTTGTTATCTGTAGACAATGCTTGCTGAAATGAACGATTGTATTGTAACAATTCAGAACATGTATTCCTATAGTTGAAACTTAATAGCTTTTAGCTTTAAACTACAAATATATTTCAGGATTAATGAGTTTCAGGAAAAAATAAGATATTCTATTATACACATAGACTGAAATTTTCAAGCTCTAATAGACCACAATGTCACTATTTTCTTTTTTCATTATTTGCTTTGGAACTGCCATGGTAACAATTCAATGACTGAGTTCTTTTGAGGGATCAGAGTTACCTTAATCCAAATACCTGGAGGTGGTTATAGCAGAAGAAAAACTACATTGTCCCTTAAAAGGAATACTCAACCTTTTGTGAGAATACAAAAGTATTTCTAACTTAGTAGGAAAAATTCTGAAAGAATAAATTAGCTACTGTCTCACTGTCTTTTAACCGTTCTTAGAAAAGAACTCAGTTAAGTAAATGATCATAGCTATGACCAAAGAAAACTTATTTTCTACAGTGCAACACTCTGGCCTCAATACCATTTCACAATAAAATACACCGAAACTAGGAAAGGGCAAAGGAAGGGGTGACATTGTCAAAAAAGAAATGTATTATTACCTGACTTACGTAATTATAACCCTTCTATATATCACCTTTATAACAGCAATATAAATAAATAAATGATACATAAAGCCAGAAAGACCTAATTTCAGATCTTAATCTAGCCCAACTTCTTAGTCATGATCTCTCAGGCCTTAGTTTCCTCACTTGTAAAACTGATGGAGTTATTCATTCAATATTGAATTCATGCTATATGCCAAAATCTATGTTGGCAATAAAAGCTTGTTGATTAGTTTCTGTTTTAAATAAATAAAACCTTGGTCCTTGCCCTTGCAAAACTCCCAATCTTATGAAGATTAAGAGTCAACATTATGGATCAACATTATAACTGCTGTGAATAAATTTCCGCTCTCAGAACAGTAAAAAATGCTGCAGAACTGAGAGTCAGTTGGGCAGAGCCTTCAAGAGAAAAAAAAATGAGTTGTTTAGAGAAAGAGATTAGGGTTACTGCTTAAAGAATTTATGTCATAAACAAGAAGACAAAATCAGAAAGAGAAGAGAGATGCAATACAGATAATGCATACACCAGATGTCAGAGAAAACTAGTGGCAGTGAGGCCTGAAGCACCACACTTAGAAATCTGACATTTAAGCAATAAGCCATTTAAACATATGGATAAAGTTCCTTCTACACTAAGACTCTGGGGATTGGCTATGGACCCAAAGAGATGATTCCAGTTTCTCTACCTTTTCATTTAAAGCTGTTAATCTTTTCAAGCAAAACAACCAACTATCCATGTTTTGATACAACCTTTCTTTTATTTTCTTTTTTGTCAGTCACGGGGCTTGAATTCAAGGCCTGAGCACTCTCCCTGAGCTCTTTTGCTCAAGGTTAGTTCTCTACCACTTTGAGCCACAGCTCCATTACCAGTTCTTAAGTGGTTAATTGGAGGTAAGAATCTCACAGGGACTTTTGCCCAGGATGGCTTCAAACTGTGATCCTCCTATCTCAGCCTCCTGAGTAGCTAGAATTATAGGTGTGAGCCACTGGTGCCTGGCTGCAACCTCTCTTAACCAATAAAATTTTAGAATTATTATTATTATTATTGTAATGCATTCTAAAAACAAAACATATGAAGGATGATTTACTTCTGCTTTTTATCAAATATAAACTCTGTAAGCTTGTAATGTGTGAAAATTATTTATAGACATTAAATGTGTAATCCCTCCAAAATGTTTTTTTATATTTCATTCAAATAAAGCCTCACTTTGAATATCAATTATCTAGAAGTTCCTTAGGAGGAAAGAAAGTCTTCTTTACCTGTGTTCTGCAGGAACAGGAGGTGGCCAGACCACAGGATCTCTAAATGGTTCATCTTGACATGACACAGGGAAATCTGGTGGCTTCTCAATTTTAAAACTTTCCAAAGTACTGACAATACTTTTGACTTGTTCATATTCTTCCAGTAATTCCTGCCGGACCTTAAGACAAATAGCTTTTACGCTGGAAACAGTTTAACATTTACACAAAGTGCAAATACGTTGTTTTTAAGTTTTCTTAATGTTATTCAAAGTATGCTAAATGAGTTATTAAAACATATTCAAAAATACAAAATAAATTAATCTAATATACATAGAAGGGCAAAAATGGTTTTAAAAAGACAATTGTATGCTTTTTCATTATAGAAATCGTTATATATCTTTCAAAACGAAATTCTATTCTAAACATCACATCGAAGAATATGATGATCAATAATACAATTTAAAACAAGCAACTCAGTCAGCAGCAAGTTAACCACTCTTAGAAATCTAATATTTATTATGCTAAATATTTATAAGAAACTTACAGATTCAAAAAAATAGCCAAAATTGTCACCAGAAACGCCTAAACATAAAATGCTTATCATGGATGTCTAAGCCTGAGGCACTACAATACTGTGTGGTAAACTCTATTTTTATTTAAATTCTCCTTCACCAGAGGAACCTTAAGTTTTTTCAATCTTGGGTAAGGTTTATTTTGAGTTTACATCAAGATTTATACTATAAAAACTTAACTAAGGGATGGGAAGGGGAAACAAAGAGGAGGCAACAATGATAATAAGAAATGTACTCGTTTATCTTGCCCATGTAATTATAACTCCTCTGTACGGTATTCTCACAATAAAAAAAAAAAAAACATGAAAGAAAAAAAAACCTAACTAAGCATCTAGCATCTACTATGTGGAAATTATTTGTGCTTCAAGTTCTAAGCTCACTCTAATTTCAAAAGTAAACAGATAAATTAAAAATTACATAAATTCAATTTAAAAATCTATTTTTAACAAGAAAGCAGAACAGAAGAAAATTTCCCTTGTATTTAACTTGAACAATCTATTGAAAAAATATGAAAAACTACAAAACCAAAGAAAAATTCAACTGCTACTACTTTCAATTAAACAAAACTTCAAGACTCAAATGAAAGAAATAGAAATGGTTACTATTGAACATACACAAACTACCCCGCCTATGAGAAATACAAAGAATGGGGAAACTAAGAGTTTCAGCCTTAGTTGAAGTAAATATGGTATTCTCAGCCAACATAATTTGGTAATTTTTAAGTCGGAAAATAAGCCAAATTTATCCTTGAAATTTAGTAATGGAAAAATAAGGAGAAATACTTGAAAGGCATTAGCACATAAAATGGAAACTTCAAAGAAATTTTTTACTTTGTACTTTTAATTTTAAAGGATTTTAAGTTTTAACTGGGGAAAATATAATTCAAATTTTTATTAACTGTACCATTATATAATCAAGTTGTACAGTCAAAAGACAAAATGTATTAACGTTTTTATTAGATTACTGATTCATTTGTATTTGGAAGGAGACTTTCAAGGAAAAGTTTTATGAAATGGGTAAAAATTACATGAAAAAAATGAAAGGACAAGTAGAAAGACCTTATTTCAAAACTTCATTGTCAGATATAATTAAATAACTGATTATAAAACATTTTAAATAATAAAAATAGATTCAATCACAATTCAAAATATTTAAGATATACCTCATGAAATATATGATCAAAATAAGTAAAATATTAGCCAGATTACACATCAGGATATTATTCATAGCTATATTTTAAATATGTTCAGTATATTCCAATTCTAATCTCTCAAGCATAACAGATCAGTGTGGTGCTCATTATTGACTACTTTAATGTGATCTTACCTGATGCCATTTGCCTTTGATAGCAGGGTCTCTGACCGACTGGCAATGTCTCTGAATCTGCTGTATCACCCCCTGGTAATATACCATTGATGAGTCATAATTTCCAAGAAGTGCATATTCTCTTCCTTTCTTTGCATTGTCACAAATCTCAGCCAAATTCATCTTCTTTCAGAGATCTACACAATAAAAATATTATGACTTTTTAAAAGTTTTAGCACTTAGGCTGGGAAGGTAGCTCAGTGGTAGAGAGCTTGCCTTGCATGCATGAGGCCCTAGGTTCGATTCCTCATCACCACATAAGCAGAAAAATCTGGAAGTGGCACTGTGGCTCAAGTGGTACAATGCTAGCCTTCAGCTGAAGAGCTGAGAGAGAGCTGAGTTGAGGCCCCATGACCAAAAAAAAAAAAAAAAGTTTTAGCACTAACTTCAAAACATTACCATACTTTAAAATAGCTGTTCAAAACTACTTTTAAAGTCAAAATAGTTACCTTCTACTTTTCAAGGTTATCTAAAACCATCTTATAATGTTGCAGAACATTTGCAATTTTGGAAATACAAAGAAGATTTTAAAAAGAACATCCAAAAGGGTAACACAGAAGGAGATAACACAGCACTAGACTACCAATTCCATTATAGCTACATATATTAGACATGAATGTTCTTGTTCATTTATAATTACCACAAGTGGCAATATTAAGGTATTGTTTGAAGACTGCTTGCTTTATTTAATTTACTCTTGATAAATTGAGATAAGTTTGTGAATATCAATAAACATGAATGTTTCTGATGTCAGTGGAAAACCAAATTTAAGGACATATACTGAACAGTAGTCTAGGGCTATCCATGTGGTATCTGTATGTGTCGAATTGACCTACAACTTAAGTCTATGCAAAAATCTTTGAGTTAAAAACTATGTAAACACTTCTGCACCTCTTAACTTACATCTTCTATAATCCTGTCCTCTATAGTTTTGGGGTTGTACCAATAACTATCATCAATTTTTCTTTTCTATATGATGGTAGAAATAATATCCTATGAACCTGGTTTCCACCGAAGTCCCCCAGCCCAATAATTCTGACTTTACTACAACTTCCCAAAAATCTTCAAAGATCACTTAAGACTGTTATGCAAAGATACTGTCCTCCCATGACTACGAAGCGTAAGAAGTCCAGAGATACAGATGATGATATCCTGAGAATCTAAACTACCCTACTCTTAATTCCTAGAATAGTAATAAATACAATTAGTGGATAAAATACAAATATTTCTCTGTGCCTTCCTGAGGGAATTAAATTTGGTTTAAGTAGTCTAATTCTTCCTGACTCTGAGTGTGTGTACACACACACATACACACACACACACACATACACACACACACACACACAACACACACACACACACACACACACACACACACACAGAGTCTTGGGCTCAAAAAGTTTTCCTGAAAATTAACCACAACTAATTCTAAGCATTTCAAGCACATTCTCAGAAATAATGTTGCTTCCTTTTGTGATTTAGCATATTAGTTATCCCTTATTTCAAGGACAAGTTCCTTGAAAGTATACTACTTTTACACAATAAGAAATTTCAGTATTTCAGTAGATACATCCACAGGATACAGGACAATCATAAAAAGCTTCTTTTTCAAGTGGATAACATTAACACAAAATAAATAGGGTGTGATGGTGACTACCATCAACCTGACTAGAGATGTGCCTAGGAGGTTAGTAAATACTGCTAGATGTTTCTATGAAAGGGTTTCCAGATAGGATGAAGTAAGGCAGAAAGCCTTGCCCTGAGTGTAGGTGGCACCATCCCATAGGCTGGGCACCTAAAATGGAAGCAATGGAGAAAAGGGAGAAAATCCACCAGAGCAGGCATTCCAGCCTTCTGTTTCCTGGCTGCTATGAGCTAAACAGCTCTGCTTTGCTGTGTACTTCTGTGTGGACCACCTGACCACAGGCCCCAAATCCTGGAAGCACCTGTACTACACAGAAACCTCTTAAAGTGTGAACCAAATAAATCCTCCTTCCTTTAACTTGTTTTTCTTCTCTATCTGCTAACACACAAGGTTTTATTATGATGACTAAGCTGCAATGAACACATTCAGTAGAAACAAAGCTGTGTCATAAGTTATTTTCTTCTAAAGTCACTGTAAAAAAATTAGTTAGCCTCAATTCTGCTAAGAAGCCCAAGTACACAACCACCCAGGATAAAAATATTCTGATGTACCAACAGGTCAATGAACTCTTTCTGCAAAATGCCAGACAATAAATATTTAAAGTTTTGATGACTAATAAGCAAAATAAAGGGTATCATATAAGTACTTCCAGAGTTAGGGAAAAAATCTGCAATTTTTATTGATGAAATTTTTAATATTATAGTAGTAATCACCTTCCTATGACATACCTCCTAATTATAAACACACCCATAATCCCAGCTAGTCAGGAAACTGAGATAGTAGAATCATGGTTGGAAGCCAACTAGGGCAGGAAAGTCTGGACCTTCTCCCCATTCCCTGCAAAACAAAGTTTAATTATACAGAAGGTGGAGACTCAACTCCAATAAACTACCCAACGGAAGTGGCGCTGTGGCTCAAGAGGTAGAGCGCTAGACTTGAGCTGAAGATCTGAGGGACAGTGCCCAGACCCAGAGTTCCAGCCCCACAACTGACGACAACAACAACAACAACAAAAAGTTTACAATAAACTACCCAAAAGCTTGAAGTGAAGCTGTGGCTCAACTGGGAGGGTATACTACCCTCAAGCAAAACAAGCACAGAGACCAAGCCAGGACCTGAGTTCAAGCCCCAGAACAGGCACAGGAAAAAAAAAATCTTTTCAAGCTAATATTGTAGTTAGGATTCAGTTAGGGTTCCCACTAACAAAATTAGTCACAAATGTCCATATTTTATCAGTGCTGATCTTTAATACAGGTTTTATAAAGTTCATCTGAGAAATGTCTTTTTTCAAAAAAGTACCAGTAAAGTACTGCCACAAACAGATATGAAATCACCAGCATTTCCTTCAGCATATTCACTGTTGGGAAGATAAAACATTCATTCTTCTCTTAATGTTATCCTTTTAGCATGCAATTACATTGCAGGTTAATCACATCCAATTAAAGATTGGATGGAAGTACTTCAACTGCACAGCTAAACCTATTTTGAAATATGGAAATTTCCTCTGCATTTGCATACAAGTATGAAAAAATGTTGCTGAAACTACACTGAGTTCAGAAAATACATGGATGGCAACTCAGAGCGGGAATAGAGAGCTCACCTATTTTAACTTTTGAGTATATGAAAAGCTACATAAAACATTGATAGGAAATGTGAAACAGTTGGCACTAAAATAACTTTAATAACTACTAACATATCAGTTTTGATATAGGGATTGGTGTTGCAATTTTAGGTTAAATTTATTAATAAACATCAAATCTGCAGCAAAATTAATGACTAGATCTATTCAATATTCAATAATAATGACTTGAAGCGATTCCTCTTGTTCAGAAAAATTTTAATCTAAACTCAAAAGTTTGCTGTAAAGCCTTCCCACTACTAAACCATAAAATTGCTGTGTGCTTAAAGCAAGTGAGGATATTGCATTTCAATTTCTGACAAAAATTCAAGGAACTGACTGGGTACCAGTGCCTCACACCTGTAATCCTAGCTACTTAGGCGGCTGAAGATCACGGTTCAAAGCAAGCCTGGACAGACAAATCTGAGAGACTCATCTCCAACTAATCAGCAAAAAGCCAGAAGTGGAGGTATGGCTTAGGTAGTAGTGCACCTTTGAGCTTTGAGCAAAAGAGCTAAGCAAGAGCATGAGGCTCTGAGTTCAAGCCTCACACCAGCACACACGCACACACATACATACATACATACATACACACAAAAAAAAACTTTGAGGAACTGATAATGGTTGATTCCATAAGAGCAAATTCTGACATTAGTGGTTGCTTATCACTTAAGAGATTCAAATATTTTACAAATATTCTAAGAAATAACACAATGAAACCACAGACTTTCAGTAATTTAATTTCTACAGCATTCTAAATGTGTCCATCTGAGCTTATTTCTGTTCACGAAAATTTTATAACCAATTTTATAACCAGTTCTGACCAATCTTCACAGTTTCTAATCATTCCAGTTGGTATGGAATTAGTGGGTTGTTTTATTATGATGATAATGATGATGTTGATGATGTAGTTTTACAAAGAGAATTCAATTCCATAAGTCAATGCATCCTGTTCAATGACCCCTCTTCCACCATTCTCCTCCATTAGTGTTTTCTGGAAAATATTGTCTATAGCTGTTCCAGACAAACTGGCCATTAAGACTAATTCTTCAATAACTTCAAACCAAGCACTGACTTTTTAAATAAACAACTGAGCAGTATTTCTAATGTCTGCCAACTCATCAAAAGCCAAGGAAACCCATTCAAAATTACTTTCTTTCTTTCTTAATTGATTAATAATGTTCTCAACTTTTCCAGCAACTGTTCATGCCAACAGGCTAATAGTTCTAAACAAGTTTATTTTCTCCAGACATAGTTCTATGCCTGCTACAATCCATGATTTAGTTAACTCACTAGAAGTAAATGACTTCCTTGCTTGGCTAACAAATGAACCATTCAGAAATTTACACTGGGAGCAAGGTCATTTTTGTTTTTTTAAATTTTGTGGGTGAGGAAACATTCTACTAGATTATACTTCTTTTTAAGTTTTCTAATTTTTCTAACCATTTTTTTTCTTTGATTTAAGAATCCTGTGATGCAGTGCCTAGTTGTAATGTCAGTATATGCTGATAGAGCCCAGGCTTGAGCACTATCCCTGGGCTTCTTTGCTCAAGGCTCCACTCCCAAGCTCCAGTCCCTCCCAGCTTTTTGGTAGTTAATTATAGATAAAAAATCTCATGGACTTTCCTTTCCAGGCTGGCTTCAAATCATGATCCTCAGATCTCAGCTTCCTGAGTAGCTACAATTATAGACATGAGCTATTTTTATAGGATGACAAGGTCAATGGTTTCTTATCTAATTTAATAACCCACACCCAAGTGGACTTTAAAAGTACAGTATTCTAAATGTACCTTTCCATCTTTCCTGTTTTGACATTACAGGTACTGCCCTGAAATAAAGTAAAATGTACAGTGTAAAGCAGCATTTGAGACATC